TCCGTTGAATTCCGCTTTGTACCAGTTCCCGGTGGTTTGCAGGATCTGACGCACACACACACGATCACACAAAACAGTCACAGTGAGGTGAAAACTGTACATATGAAACAGCTCATGACACAGGCTCAGAGGTACAGCTGAAGCTAAATATGCATAACCACAACATGAAGTGTGGTCACACTTGTCTATATTTTGTGCTGCAGTGTAAATGTATTCAGCAATGTGGAGATAATGATTCCCTGTTGGATTTATAAGGCTGGCGGTGCTCCTTGCAAAATATAAAAGTCTATTGTTTACTGTCAAACTTCTCAAACAAGTACTGCACACTGCTGCAGAGCCATACTGTCATTTTTGTGAGAAAAAAATCCAGCACATGACATAATTTGGATGTAAGAGCTACAGGACGCTGCAAATAAGTCAGTGACAGGTTTTAATGCTCAGCACCGTGGACACAGTGGTCCTACAAAGTTTTTATTTTAACTCTAACTGATCTGTTTTTGAGACCAGACGTTTTCCATACATACAGAGAAAACCTGATCCTTTTATTCACTTGGTTCCTCCTCACCGGGCCAATGATGATAACCTGTGATACACTGTGAAAGCTAAGAAATCATTTTCTCAGGGTTATGATTAGTTAGGTGTCTGTGTTTGTGGTTTGTCTCTGTTGAGACAGTAGGTGTATAAAGTTTGCGGGGTTTTTTTTTTTCTTTTCTCTTTTTTCTTTTGCTGTTTCACTTCCTCCAAACTGTCTGACCGCCACACAAGTCATTTGTTGAGGTGCTGAGTTCACCTGTAATGAAATGTGCAGCAGGTATGGAACTGCCTTGCTTTGCCTTGTCTTACCAAACCAGTGTGTTTATTTGGCAAAACTCATCTGTGATTTTAAAAAAGCAACACAGACAACGGCATCAAACTCTTCCTTTACATGTGAAGTTTTCAGCGTCACTGTCTGGACATGTGGCTGTAGCGACATGGTTAATAGTCTTTATATAAAGCATGTCTCAGCTGCGGGCTGCAAGGTTGCTCGACGGTTAGCACCATCGCCTCGCAGAAACATGTTGAGGTTAATTGGTGATTCTAAATTGTCCGTAGGTGTGAATGTGAGTGTGCTTGGTTGTCTGTCTCTAAGTGTAGCCCTGTGATAGACTGGTGACCTGGGTGTCCCGTCGTCCCCCTAAGTCAGCTGGGATAGACTCCAGCCCCCCGCGACCCTAGTGAGGGTTAATCAGTGTGTAGATAATGGATGCTTCAGCTGCCCTTTAAGCCTGATATCACTTCCACGGCAAGTTTAAAAAGCTTTTCTTGGCCTTTTTTCTAACATGAGTAAGTCGTAGTAAGACACAATAAGTCGCACCTTTTTCACCGTTCACATTGTTGTAATAACGATGAACTGTTTTCTCTCGATTAAGAACAAAGGATCTGATCTGTGAAAGTCACTGAAACCAGAGCTAATATTTCTAGAGCCGGATGCTAATTATTGGCTGGAAACCTAAAAGGTCAAAAACCCAACTGAACTCTGACTCCACTGAGAGACGAGTGAATGTTGTGCCTTTATTTTGAGCTGTTTAACACACTTCTTGTATTTGTGCCTCTGCTGTTGGGTTTTTTAAACATCTGTGTCATCGAGAGACAAAAGCTTCGTTGTCATGATGGTGCAAGTAGGAAATGAACTTGAGCTTAAGCAGCAGGATGCAGTTTCATAACATCATTGTCACTGTCAGCTCCACAAACTGCTGAACAGCCCGATGCAAATAATGAATGTAATGAACGTCCAGTTACTGAGGCGACACTGATTAACATGAAAATGCTGTAAGCGTGATATAAACACTCCACATACGAATGTTTTTCACATCAAGAGCTTTTCATGACAGTAATTGAAGGTTATTGAAAACACAATATCTGTAGGAAGTGAGCGAGCGTGAGGTGTTACTTGCCTTCAAGCAGTCTCCTTTGCGGAAGCTGAGATCATCATCAGATGAAGCTTTGAAATCGTACTTGGCCGTAGCCTCCATGGTACAAAAGCTGAGGAAATAAAAGAAGTTGTGTGAAAACGGATTAATGGGTTGTTGAAACAGTGGTAATATAAGTAATGCGCCCATCTAAAACCCAATAAAAGCTGTTGTAATAAAGGTTACTTTCATCTATCGTATCCACTGGAGCACATTTTAGTACGCTGCAGTCTGAAAGCACCACAAACAGGGAATCAGGACACTTGTATCACTGAACACGCTTCTGTTTAAAAGTGATGCACTTCCAACACACATGCTGCAAGGTGAGATGGAAATCTAACACCTCTTGTCTCGTCTCCTTGTTTCTAATTTCTTTCCACGAAGCAAAGAAATCGACTTGACTGAAAAGAATCTGTGAGTTATCTTTGGCTTCACCTGCACTCGGTTCATTTCACGGGAAGTGCAGCTGAAGTTTGCAGCTTCAGTGACGTATGAGCAGAACGCGTTGGCAAGCTCAAGAGATCACCAGGACGACAAGCTGAATTTCAAAATGACAGCGTGTGAAGCCCGTTGTTAAGAAGACAGAAACAGTGACTTACCCACCATGTATGTGTCGTTCTCCCTGCAGAGCTGAGTTCACGCAGTTTGTGAAGAGAAGTGACAAACCCCTGCTGTCAGTTCACAGGAAACACCGACTGCTGGTGAGACGCGCTTTGTGTCGCGGCTGACCCACACACAGTGACAGGTGTGAAGACACACACAAAGATTAGACCCTACAAGCACACAGTGGAAATGGATGGAAACAAATACCAAAAATCTGAAGTGATAGTGCACAAAATGAGTATTATCAACCCTTATAGATGCTAAACCTGCTGAACACATTTTAGTTATCAGGTTTATATGGAGTGTAGTCATTAACCCAAAGACCACATCTGATTTAGGATTAAGCGGGTTAATGTGGTAAATGTCACATTATCAGCATGGAGCGTGGAACAACTGGTTATTACAAGACCAACAGATGTGCTTATGTGAGGCTAAGTGCACAGAGACGTCATTGTCTGTCTGTTAGAGGTGTGCATCTCTACCTTAAGAGGCGATCCGATACGAATCTAGCTGCATGGGTTGCGATGCGATTCACTAACGGTACATTTTAATACATCACGATGCAGCTTGAATCTATTTGTGTCAGAAAATCGGGTCAGAACTACATCATTGTGTTTATTTTTTGAGGACACACAGACGAGCTGTGAGNAAAACAGAACATGAACAGACAGAACGACAAATTACTAAATAAAATAATATTACAATATTAAAGTTTGGCAGATTGGGATGTCAGAGATATTGCTGGCCAGCTAAAAGACAAAAATGCATCCTTAGACAGTTAAAAGGTTAAAATATTCTATCACAGCAACGTGAGATGTTGCATTAGTTGTTCAGAAGTTTTATTTGGTGTTGATTTTTTACAAATGCATTAGTTTAAATGATAGATAGAAGGTAATATACAGAGAAAAATACAAAAAAAAAGAGTTGAATAAAACTGAAAGGGGCTTGATTTGGATAGCCTTCAATGCTTCCTCAATTAAAAAAAATGATTGGAAGTAAAAGCTACAGAAGACCTAATGGGTCCATGAGGCTGCCATGTTGCACCAACATGCAAGAGCTTTGTCATAATGAATTGTCAGTATTTCATTTTAACAACGCATTAAACTTGTACAGATCAGGCTGTCTAAAGTCTGTCAGTCTGGGAGCCGCTCACTCATCTACATAAATCATTCAGTCAAGATCAGCGAGTAGGAAAATTAAAGCACAACGAGGAGTCTTTAGTGTGTTATCCACCGATCACTGTCAGACTGCCGCCAGCGCAAAAGTTTCTGAGAAAGAAAGTGTTGCGTTCTGCTGGAGGAAGTGGTGGGGACTAATTATGGCCTGTTGTTGGCCGCGGTGATGTGACAGCGACAGAATGAGAGACAGACAGAGAGAAGTGGTGGCTGAGAAGAACAAGACATAATATCAATGACAGGCACAAAAAAAAAGTCAGAATTAGTGGAGAAGTCAGAGGTCAGGACAGTTTAGTGGGTGAGTTTAAAAAAAGACCATTTCTACCTGATGTAAACTCAACATCAGCATGAACTCTTGTCTCTTGGTTAATGTTTAAATGGTTATATGTTTCTTGAAAATGGTGTGTATGACAATATATTTATTCAGCTGTTAGCAGTTGCTCAGCACACAGCTTCAATTGTTGGTTATTTTTTCAGTGTGGTAACTGAGTGAATGCACCTGACGGAGAGGGAGAAGTTCCCGGGGATTGCGTTCTGGCTGCCTCGGATCAGAAAGGCTCCCACGGGCTGAGATATGAGGCTCCGCTGGGCGTCGCTGCGACTGGCGTTCTCCTGGTACCAGCTGGAGTCATGCAGGGGAGAGGACAGGACAGAGGAGGGAGGTAGAGAGCAGAGGATGTTTAAGTGGTGACGAAACCATGACGGTGATGGAGGAGAGAACAATACAGGAAGGGAACTA